GCTGAGGCAGGAGAATGGCGTGAACCTGGAAGGCGGAGCTTGCAGTGGGCTGAGATCGCACTACTGCACTCCAGCCTGGGCAACAGAGGGAGACTCCGTCTCAAAAAAAAAAAAAAAATATATATATATATCAGGAAGAATAGAGATAAGACTACTTTTAACACTAATTGCCTTTGAGGAAGACAACTGGGTAACTGGAGTGGGATGAAAAAAACTTACTTTTCAAAACATTCACTGTGTGTTTTTAGTCTTGTACCTCTTCTAATTTCTCCAGTGCTATCACCCTGGTCTGTGCAACCTCTTTGTCTTTTAACTACTGCAACAACATGCTAACCAACTTTCCCCTTCCTTTAGCCTTTCCTTCTTAGGCCCATTTTTACCTGTAGCCACAGTGATCCTTTTAAAACTGAAATCGGATCACGTCACTCATTTGCTCAAAACCCTCCCATCTTCCTAATCTCAGACAGCCAAAACCTTACAACGATCTTCCCACAATCTGCATCCTACTCCACCCCTTTCTTTCTGATCTCTTCTCCCTAGTATTTGGTGTTTCTGTAGGGTCAAAAAATGAACAAACAGCGGCCATTTCATAGACTGAACCTAACACTAACTGCTTGCCATTCCTCAGACGTGCCAGGGTCTTTGCACTTACTGTTCTCTGCTGAGAACACACACCCAGATGCTCATATGGCTCACTCTCCAGCTCCTTCAGGTCTTCACTTTTCAGGAGTCTTCACTGGCCCACCCTATGCTTACCCACAGCACCTATTAATATCTAATATTATTTTACTTATCCATCTTGTTTACTGTGTCTTTTCCATCTTGATCAGTGGTTCTGAAACCTGAGTCTGCATCACAATTATTTGGAAGGCTAGTTAAATAAAGAGTTCTGGGATGGAGCCTGAAAATTTCAGTTTCTAACAACTTCCCAGGTGATGCTGATGCTGCAGATCCAGGGACCACATTTTTAGAACCTGTTTCAGAATGTAAGCTCCATGAGGACAGAGATTTTTGTCTATCCACTGTTTTATCTCTAGGACCTAGCACATAGTAAGCACTTGCTGTGGTCTGAATGCTTGCCTCCTCCAAAACTCAAGTTGAACCTTAATCACCAGTGTTGCAGTACTGAAAGCTGGAGTCTTTAAATGGTGACTGGGTCCTAAGGGTTCAGCCCTCATGAACGGGTTATCATGGGAAAGGAACTGGTAGCTTTATAAGAAAAGAGAGTTCTGGGCTAGCATGCTCGGACCCTTCACCATGTGGTGCCCTGTGCTACCTCAGGACTGTGCAGAGTCCATACCAGCAAGGCCCTCACCAGATGTGGCCCCCTGAACTAAGACTTTTCAGCCTTCATAACTGTAAGGAATAAATTTCTTTTCTTTATAGATTACCCAGTTTCAGATATTCTGCTATTAAGACATCACTGATATATGTAAATAAATATAAGTGTTCCATCCTGTTTCCACTGTAGCCTCTGACTCAGCCTATGATGCTAAACATTTACTGAACACTGTAAAAGACAAACCGTGTAACTGTTACAGGTTAAACTGTGTTCCCCCAAAAGATAGGTTGAAGTCCTAATTCCAGTACCTCTGCATGTGACCTTCTTTTTTTTGTTTTTTGTTTTTTTTTTTTTTTGAGACGGAGTCTCGCTCTGTCGCCCAGGCTGGAGTACAGTGGTGCGATCTCGGCTCTGCATGTGACCTTATTTCAAAACAGGGTCTTTGCAGATGTAATAAGTTAAGATGAGGTGATTAGGGTGGATCTTAATCCAATACGACTAGTATCCTTCTAAGAAGTGGAGCACACCATATGAAGACAGAGCCACACAGGGATTATGTCGTGATAAGAATCAGAGACTGGAGTGATATAGCTGCAAGCCAAAAAATTCCAAGGATTGGCAGTAACACAAGGTAAGAGGCATGGAACAGATTGTCCCCTCGAAACTTGAGAGAGCATAGCCTTACCTACATCTTGACTTGACATCTTGCCTCCAGAACTCAGACAATAAATCTGTTGTTTTAAATCACCCAGTTTGTCGTATTTTGTTACCAAGGCCCTAGAAAACTAATACAATGACCAAGAATGCAAATAACTATGCCAAGCTGTATTTAATTTCAAGTTCTGCCTATTATCAACATCTACCTGTTTAAATGTGCTTTAATATACAGGTTTCCCATTCCAGAATCTCCCTAGAGTTGCCTCTCGTTGCCCCCAACATGCCCCTTCAGTATGCAAGGCAGCACATACTACAGGTGCTTATTTAGACTTTCCTTTCAGTTTCACCCACCTTCCTATGTGCTTTCCTAGATCACAAACACCAGTTTCTTTATATATATATTTTTTCTTTCCAAGGGACACTTCCTATTCTCACACATTACAGATGTTGGCATATATTTTCCCCTTGGACATTTGAATTAGCTGCAAAATAATTTAAGTACACATTGGAGTTCCTCTCTAACCAGATTTCAAGATAAAAGGCTAATTTCTCATTTTATGAACAAGTCTCCTTCCCAACTCCACCCCCTTTCTTCTTTTAAAAGAATGACTTAATCCCACTGAATCTGGAGTAAAAAGATTTTTGTCATACCTTTCTTTCAGCCTTGTTATAGTTTGTACATCAGCCTCTTTAATCAAATCTTAAGAAATCTTCTAGAAGAAAAGATGGTTGTATTGGGAAGCTTAAACTTTTAAGCCTATCTGAATTTAATTTCAGCATCAAGCTTTCCATTTTCTACTTAAGGTTTATTTATAGCTGCACTGTCATAAAAATTCCAATCAATAATTTTACCACACAAAGACTCTACTTTAAATTACCATAGCTTATAAAGTTAAACTGCATAATGCAATTTTAATTTTAGCACAAATCAATATACAAATAGTAGCATATGCCTAGTGACATACTTTTTCATATTTCTATTAGGTAAACACGAATTCATTATATGTACCCTGAAATAAATTTGTGATACGATTTTAAGAATAACTGAATATTGAATTTACTCAATGTAGTCTAGTCTTAAAAAGCATAATTATGAAAAACTTTAAATAGGAAACACAAAATATTTCTAAAATGCTTAATCCTAAGCAGGAAGATACAAAAAAAATACAAATTCCAGGCAAATTTAAGAGAGGCATTTAATGGTTCTCCACTAATACTGAAAAATTATTCTCTTTATGAAGAATTTTACATGAGTCATACTTTCCTGACTAAATCATTGCTTTACTCAACATTAGGTGAAGAGTTAACTGTTTGCTAACTTGAAACCTTATATTCACTTAAACTGTACATCTACATATAAAGGCTGGTAGAAAGCATAGTTTACTATATACAATACTTAAAACATACAGTATCATGTGCATCAAGCTCATCTGACATTTACCTAAGAGGGTGAAAAGCTGTCACCTAAATACCTTCTAAAAACTCAGATTCCCACTTCCCAAACTCACACCACAATCAAGCAACTTGAAATTATGCACACTTTTTCCTGGCAAAGCTATGTTCTATGCCCAACTTTTAGTAAGTTAACATATTTCTGTCCCTTACACACTGGCCTAATTATTCACTGATTCATTATGATTCTAAATTTATAACTTTTAAATTCATAATGAAATCAATCCATGGTTAGTACAATAGTTTTCTATCTTAAAAAGCGTGAAACGGAAATCGAGTAATATGTACAATGGATATAGAGAACTAGGTTAGAAATCTTGAGAATTTTTCCAGACTGTGTGGGTTTTGTGTTGCTGATATTGTTTGCTTTAAATGCGGGGCAGTGGGGGTGGGGAGACGGTAAGGGCTAGGAAGGAATAAATCCACAGCGCTAAATTATGGTCATGTTTTAAGAGTGTACAACTTACCCAAATTCAAAGCAATATGGACAACTTGTCAACACCTACTAATCCCCTCACAATTTGCTGGGGGGAAATGGGGTGGAGATAAAAAAAAAAAAATTCTTTTTAATGCCTTTCTTCCTCCCCCACGCAGCGAATGCCCCAACACACACGTATCTGGTTCACTCTGCGGCACGGAAACTTAAAGAAATAAATCAGCCACAGACAAACCTGATGATCCAAGCTAGCCCCAAGCAAGCTCCAGGCACTTCTGGAAGGAGCCTGCTCGCTGGGCGCTCAGGCGGCGCGGCAGCTGAGTAGCTCTCGGCGAAGGTGCCCCACACCTGGGCGCCGAGTCCAGCGGGACCCCCAGGTCAGCGGCGGGGCGTGGACGGCGCGGGAGGAGGGACCGGGAGGGCCCGGCGAGGCAGGACCGCTAAGTGGTCCGGCCCGGGCGCACTCTGCACCCCGCGGCGCCGCCAGGCAGCGCGCCGGCAGAAGAGGGGCGCGAGCGGGCACAACGGAAGGACCCACGACGAAGAGGAGGCTACAAGTCCACAAAATTGCGGCCGGGTACGCACCCGGACGCTGTGGCAGATCGCTAAGGCTCCGGGAGCAGGAAGTCCTCGCGCCTTCCTGAGGAGCCCGGACGACCCCCGCCCGGCTCTGACCCCGAGACACCTGTTCCGCCGCGCCCGGGGTTTGGGTCCATCCTCCACGGTTCCCTACCAACCCGGAGAGGGGGGAGGGCGGGGAGAGGGCGAGGGGAGCCGAGACCTTGGACCCGGCGCCTCCGCCGGCCGTACCTGACATCAGCTGCGGCTCCCTCTCGCCCCTCCTGGGGGGCGGAGAGGGGGACGACTTCGGACCGGCGACCTTTGCTTCTCTGGGCAGCCGCAGAAGTGGCTCGTGGCCGCTAGCCGAGGCCGCCCGCTGCCGCCCAGATTATTCCCCGGCAGCGGCGGCAGCAGCAGCAGCGGCGGCCAAGGCGGGCCCTACGCGCGCTCCCGCCCGCTCGCTCCGCCCCTCCCCGCAGCGCGTCCAAGCCGTGGCCCGCCTACGGCGCAGCCGCCACCCGGAGTCTCCTGGCGCTGACGTCTCCGCCGCTGCACCAGCCCCAGGGAAGGGCGGAGCGGGAGGGGCGGTGGGCGGGGATACAGCGACGTGAGGAACCGGGGATTGGCCGCCGGGCGCACGCTCCGCCCTAATGCGAAGAGGTCTGGGAAGTCGGTCTTCCTAGAGCAACAGATTTCGTTATAGCCCTCTTGCGGCTTGTGTCTACTACCCTCCACCTTTCTGTTCCTGCTATAAGGTTATGCACTTGCTTCCGGACCTTGAGGGGGACGAAAGCAGGGCAACAACAGGGAAGGAGAAAGGGGATGCCTGAGGGATCTTTGTCTGAGGTACAGGCTCTAACCCTGCAGGACTCTTGTGGCCTGTAGCCTGCTCTTAACCCGTTCATTTGTTTTTCTGTTCTCTCCCCCATACTCTCTTTGCTCAGTATCTCTCTGGACTTAACGAAAGGAAGTAATAAGATGAAGTATGCATACGGGTGCTGGGTCATCATGTGTGAACCAGGAAGAGCTGAAAACCGAGATAATGATACTAGAAAGCTTTCTGTAGGCACATTTCGTCTTTGGTTCTGTCAGCACTTCGGTTCTGTGGGGCAGTGGCCAGAAGAGCGTCTTCGGGGCTTAACAAAACCTATCTCCCCTTTGGCTGGGCTCTGAATGAGGAAGTTGTCTTTGGAATAGGGGGAGGAGACTGCCACCTGTTGAAGCAACCCCATAATAGTCAGGAGGTGAGGGTAAGGTATCGGCTTTACTGGCGTTAACCATTATCTACAAGACCAAGTTCCAGAATAGGAAAGCTATCCTGCTTCCTTTAAATGCCCTATCCAAGCGGTTCTTTAGTACTCTACAGCATGGTTGTTAGAGTATGGGCTCTAAAATCAGACTGCCTGGGCTGGCATCTTGGTCCCTCCACCTATTGGCAAGTTACTTAGAATGCCTGAGACAAATAGTAAACAATGTACATTATTGTTGTTATTTTTTCTTTAATTTACTTACGTTCAGCTGTAGTGTAGTTTCTCAGGACATAGCATCAATATATCCAAAAGAATTGTGAAACATAAAGCACATGTAGTGATTCTAATACAGATGTCTTATTTTTCAGATGAGAAAACTAAAGCCAGAAAGATAAACTGATAGGTCCATGCTAGAAGAGAAGTGCAGCTACCCTGCTGTCCAGGTTATTGCTCTTTCCCTGACTCATGGGTCCAGACTTCTCTCCCTTACATCCTTACCTCCATCCTCTACTCCTCCCCAACTTGTATACAGTTGCTCAGCCTCCTCCCCCTCCACCTTTCCACAATATCTTTCCACCCATTGTAAAACATGGAAGGGAGACCCTCTCAGAGGTCAGTGTTCCAAATAGAAACCAAAACTCACAACTACTTTTCTCATTTTAATTTTATTAAAAGTTATAATGAATAAAGAATAACACTTTTTTTCCATTGAGCAAAGATTAGAACTCTTTCCTAAGATAAGGTCAGCCACAGCCTTATCCAGGAAAATTACTTGCTGGAAACAATACTGGACCAAATCAGCCCTGCTCCCACCCTGCCTTTCTTTGAAAATAGCTTTTTTTTTTTTCTTTTTTTAAAGAGATATGGTCTTTCTGTGTCGCCCAGGCTGGAGTGCAGTGGCTAATCACAGATGTGATCATGCACACAACAGTCTCGAGCAACTGGGCTGAGGGCTGAAGCAATCTTCCTACATTAGCCTCCCCAGTAGTTGGGATTACAGGCACAGGCTGTGGCACCCAGCTAATAACTATTGTTTTATAAAAACACTACGTGCTTGTGCAAACAAATTGAAAAATTTTAAACAAAAATGCAAAGAAGTTAAAATCTGTCCAAATCCCATAATATAGAGATAACCATTTCTTAAATTTTATGTTACATTCTTCTAGGCATCTCTCTAAGAATAGAAGCACATATAGACATATAAATACAATATTTCATAAATTGGATCTTATTATCTGCACAGTGAACAATAGTCATGAAAAACATCATTTTTAAAAGTTGCATAGTGTCTGTTAAATGGATATACTGTCATTTATCCAACCAGTATTCTATTGATTGACATTTATGTTTCCAAGTTTTTACTATCATAAAAAAGTCTCTGATGAACATTCTTATCCACAGGCTGTTGCACAATTGTGCAATTATCTCCTTGGACACATTCCTAGAAGTAACACTAATGTCAGCCAATTCTTTAACATTTTCAATTAGAGAATAAAAGTTGTGGTTACTTTGAAAAATATACTTTATATGTGGGACTCAAAACTGACCAGATTCTCCCATTTGAAACATATTTGAAACACAGGTAAACCTGAGTATTGTTGTTTTTCTTGTGTCTAGTGTTTAATAATGCATGTTAAAGCTCCTTAGAGTAGGTCGGTAGACATTACTGGTTGTCTAAGCCAATATCCTTTCTTCTTTACTAGTAGAACTCTGATTTCTTCAGGGTGACAGCATGTCCAGTTAAAAATATTCATGCTCCTAGACTTTCTTAAGTCATGGCTGGCCATGTGACTATCAATTAAATAAAAGTGAATTTCTGTAGAGGAGGCTCAATAAATATTGCTTTAGCCATTTGATCTGCACCCACCCCTTTTATTTTTTTGAACCTGAAACAGGGACATGATACTGGAGGTAGAGCAGACATATTTCACCCATAATAACAAAAGCCACACTGACACTATTAATAATGTAGGACACCGGAGGTGCCTAGGTCCGTGGTTGCTTTGGAGGGCCAAACTGACCAGCTCTGGACTGTCCCACTTCTGGATTTGTTGTTAGGTGAGGAAGACTATATCCCTTCTATATAAGATTTTGTTATTGTCTGTTTTAAGTATCAAATCCAATTCTTAGTTGACATAATAAGAGGCCAAGTCATCATTTATTTAGCACTATATACAGAATTATTTTAACAGACAGAATGAGACGAAAATGGTGACAGAAAATGCAAACAAGCTAGCAACAACAGTGAAACATTGTCTTCTTTAATAGACTTAGTTTCCCTTTAAATACCTACATTTTACAAATATATTGACACCACTTTATAATAATTAAGTTAAATTTCATGAATTAAATTTTATTAACTCATATGGTAGTATTAAAATATGTTCACAAATTATTTGATACTTCTTCCTTCAAAGGGTCAAACTTCATTCCCCTCACCTTGAGTTAGGCTGTATCAAATGACTTGTTCTCATAAATAGAATGCAGAGGAAATGATGTAGTGTGACTTCTGAGGGGAAATTATAAAACATGCCAGCCTTTTTATTCTTTCTCCAGGATTACTTGTTGGGGCCAGGTAGCTGTCATGTCAGAGTCATAAAGTCACTCAGGCAACTTATAAAAAGGCTCACATGGTGAGTAATTAAGGCTTCCAGCTAACAATCAGTGAGGTATTGAGGCCTTCTGACAATAGCCATGTGAATGAGCTTGGAAGCAGATCCTCCAACCCCAGTCAGGCCTTCATATGATTGCATGCATCCTGGTCAACATCTTGACTGTAACCTAGAAGGAGACCTTGAGACATAATCATTCAGCTACGGTGCTCCTGAATTCCTAAGCCACAGAAATGGTGAGATACTAAATGTTTAAATGATTTTCGTTTTAAGCCACTAAGTTTTGGGATAGTTTGTTATGCAACAATAGGTAACTCATGCAGCTGGATATAATAGAGCCTAGCACAATGCCTGGCACACATGCCGGTGTTCGATTATTTGTTGTTTGAATGAATAAATAATTGAATGAAGTATATCTTTTACACTTTAGTGGGTAGCATACAATGTTAGGTTTATCTTTGCTCCCTGACACCTGTATTATCTAAGGGTTTTTTGATCTCTCATAGAGAAATGAAGTGTGAATCTTACTGAGAGCTAAACTTCGCCAGTTGTGGAAGTAACATGGTGAACAGAATGGAATCCTGGAAACTTGAATTCTGCCCCCAGTTGTTTTTCCTCAATCAAAAATGTTTTAAAAATTAATGAGTTAACACAAAATTAAACCATGTCTCGAAACCAGACAGCCATCTTGTCTGCCATCTCCAAGCAAATTACAGATTGACTCATAATACAAATTTGCCCACAGGGCTTGCAATACTATTTCACAAGGTAGGCTGTATTATTTCTCTTCACAAATGACCAGTCTGATGCATAGCACGTTTAGCTACAGATGCCTCTGATGACTTTCCCTGCAGCATTTTCATGGCTTACCAATAGGTCTGTCTGCATTTCTCAGGTCTACCAATGGGGCGGTTCAATTCTCCTTTGATGTAATCGATCCAAAGATCAGAATCTACAGATCTAAATTCTCTCAAAGCCCTCTTTTGCAGGATTCTTGCATTCTTCCTTTTCAAACTGAATCATTTCCTGAAAAAGTCAACTGTAAATGGATGGCTCTCCTGTAAACTTTTAAACACACCTCTAGCCTTTTTGTAGCCACCACTTTGGTAAGCCCAGTCAAGGTACTTATCCTTCAGTGCCCCCAGTTTTATCACTGATTAGCTGGATGACCTGTAATAAGTCACCTACTCCTTCTGAATCTCAATTTCCCTATCCACTAACTGGGGAAAATAATCCCAGTGTACTCCAAAAGGCAGTCAATGAGATTATGTGTAAATATGCTTTATATATACAGCATTAGCATTATTTTAATTAAATTAGGCTGATGAGGTCTACCTTACGTTTAAGCAGTTAAGCATTAAGTATTTTACATGAATACCATGGAGATCTTTCTTTCAGGAAGTGACAACTTATTTACTGATTTTACTGTATACTGTATAAAATAGTAGCATCATTCATAGCAAGCAGTTTGGATTTAAGAGTATGGCGGAATGGTAGCTTATATGTCAGATCTCATTTTATTAGCCTGTTGAAAATTTATTACTCTTTGAAAAGAATACATAATTATCACTGGCTCCTTTTTCTTTTCATGAATTAATTTGTAACTGTGGCTGAGTATATCTGCTCCTCTTTATTGTAACAGAGGTACTTAAACAAACTTAATAACAAACATATATTTAACCGGTTATTTGAGTTTATGAGTTCATCCTAGAGCAAAATTGCATCCAATAGCAAGAAAATAAATGGCAGAAAACATGTCTTTCTCTTTCAGAGGGCAGAGCTTAGGGCACACAGGGGAAGGCTTTATATACTGGAACATCAAAGCTAGAGATGAGGCAATTATTAACAATGCACATTTTTGTGGCATGACTAACCTGAGAGGTAATATATGTTAGAATGAGTAAGACAGAGCCTTAGTGTGAGATTCAAGTCCTGATTATGTAGTCAATGAATGGCCTTAAATACAAGGTCCCTAGTTTAATTGTATTGTTGTTTCTTGTTTTCAGCTATTCAACTGTGAGCCCAAATCAGTTGAAACTACTGGCCTAATTAGATATCAGACTGTTTGTTGTTGTGGATGATCCCTGAATAAGAAAAAGAAGAATTCTAGAGGGAAGAAAGGGACAGAGCTTCACGTACCTCATTTCCTATGTTAAATTAGGAAGTAAGTGAAAAATGGACACCAGGAAACAAAGATGAGGGAAATCCTTCTGGCAACATTGTGCTTTTAGACAGAGCTTCTCATATCCTATTGAAAATACCTGACAGTGCCACCCTGTATAACCTAAGGGAAGATTTTCTAAACAGTTTTATTCCTTGCAGCTACATCTTCACAAAATTTACCAAGATTTTGAGACAATTGGAACGGCTGGTGGTGTTTTCTGAATTGACTGACAGAGGAATAGGGTTCAGATGGAGAATAGAGCAGAGGAAGACATAAAGAAAAAAGTCTAGGAAGTACATTTAACCTCAAGGGAAGAGGACTCAGTGTGACTCACAGCATATTAGCTTGAAAGCAGAGACTGTCACGTGTGCACTGAGGAACTTGTGTCATCTAAAAAAATATTCTCAGCTTACGAGGCTAGAATCCCTAGGGTTACTCTCTGTTCCTCCAGTTCCCTGGAATAAGAATCAAGAGTATTCCTTCATTGTTTTCTCAGTTGATGAGAAACAGAAGCAGAAACATTTGTTGTAAATGAAATAGTTGAAGTTTCTTTAGTTTGAAATCCCAAAGGAGTAAATTATTTATAAATGTATATGTTGCATCTGTTATTATAAAGAACTAATTGACTTACAAATCGTGTAGCTGCATAATGTGGCCTTTTTTTTTTCTTATTTCAAGTTGTATTTCTAAATCTAAAGGTGGACCTGTGGTAGATACCTTTTCTGGTTTCTATTCATCCTCCATTGAGAAGCATCTCCTTCCTCAGCCTTTTTCCACAAATTCCCATTTTGCTGAAATGGCTCACAGAACTTGGGCAAATACTTTACCTATGTTTACTCACTTATTATAAAGGATACAGATGAATAGCCAGATAGAAGAGATGTATAATGTAAGGTATGGGAGAAATGGCATGTAGCTTCCATGCTGTCTCTGGGCATACCAACCTCTAGGAACCTCTGTGTGTTTGGAAAGCCCCCCAACCCTATCCTGTTGGGGTTTATAGGTATATGGAGATAATAAAGGTAAAATGAGGTGATAAAGGTAGGGCCCTTTATCCAGTAGACCTGGTACCCTTCTAAGAAGAGGAAGAGCTCTCTCTCCCCATTATGTAAGGACACAGAGAGATGCCAATCATCTGTAAACCAGAAAAAAAAGCCCTCAGCAGAAACCAAGTCAGCCAGAATGTGGATCTTGGACTTGCTAGCCTCCAGAACTGTGAAAAATAAATTTATGTTGTTTAAGCTATTCAGTCTGTGGTATTTTGTTACAGTAGCCCAAGCAGACTAATACAAGGGGCTACCTGAAGGATTGATGCAAGATCCTGTCCTCTGTTTTGTCTAACTCAGAACTTAGGGCAGAAAAAGCTGGAAAACACAGCAAACTGAAGTAATAACTGTAGACACCTGGAGGCAGAGATTACAGTTGAAACGTGCAATAGACTGCCTAAGGCAAAATCTGGAGAGAGTTTATTTGGGAAATTAAAATATTCAAAAGCAACCATGTATACATGGAAATTTAGAAAGCCATGCACATGCCCAGGGCAAAACACATGCTTAGAAAACACCTGAGAAAACCCTGAGCTTTCATTTTGGGCTGATCCCTTAGCACAGTGCAAGCCTGACTAAGAACTGAAGTAGAGCCCTGGCTTAGAGCCAATTTGCAAAGACTGTGAGAGCTTCTGGTATTGGAGGAAATCTGCCAAAATACTAGCTGAACATAGGCTAAGGGACAGAGTCTTCGGTGACCATATTGACAAGGAATACAGTCTTTGAAATAATGTTTGAGACAGGCCTCAAATAAACTGACTGCTACAGCCTTCAAGAACCAGAAAACAGCAAAGCCTAGGAAAGTGAAGAAAATCTAATTTCTAGTTACCACATCGTAGGAGCCAAATGTCTACTTTTCAAGCTCACACACAAAACTTACAAAGCATTCAAAGAAACAAAGTATGGCTCATTCAAAGGAACAAAATAAATGGATAGAAACTGTCCCTGAGGAAGTCCAGACATTGGAATTACTAAACAAAGACTTTAAAACAATTGTCTTAAATATGCTCAAAATGCTAAACATGGAAATGAAAACATTGACAATGAACTAAAGGAAGCCAGGAAAATGATGTATGAACAAGATGAGAGTGTCGACAAAGAGATAGTAATTATAAAAAGGAACCAAACAGAAATTCTGAAGCTGAAAAATAAAAATAAAACAATCTAGGTGGCTTCAGCAACAGAACTGAGCAAGCAGAAGAGTCAGTGAACTTGAAGATAAGGCCATTGAAATTATTGAGCCTGAGGAGCAGAAAGGAAAAAGAACAAAGAAAATTTCATTTGTTGGAATGCAAATTGTATAGCCACTTTTTTTTTCTTTTTATGTTGCCCAGGCTGGTCTTGAATTCCTGAGCTTGTGATCCTCCCACCTCAGCTTCCCAAAGTGCTAGGATTACAGGCATGGGTTCAGTATAGCCATGTTGAAAGACAGTTTGGCAGTTTTCTTACAAAACTAAATATACTTTTACTATACAATCTAGCAACTGGGCTCTTTGTTATTTACCCAAATCAAGTGAAACTTATGTCTACACAAAAACCTGCATTTGAATGTTTACAGCAGCTTTATTAATAATTGCCAGAACTTGAAAGTAACCAAGAGGCCCTTTTATGTACCCTTCAGAATTCCTATGCTGAAGTCCTAACCCCTAGTGTGGCTGTATTTGGAGATGGAGTCTCTAAGGAAGTAGTGCAGGTTAAGGGTGGAGCCCTGATCTGGTAAGATTAGTGTTCTCAAGAAGAGATACCAGAGCACTCTCTCTTCCCCTCTCTATGCATACACGAGGAAAGGCCGTGTGGGGACATTCAAAAAAAAAAAAAAAAACGGAAAAAAAGACGGCCGCCTATAAAGCCAGGAAAAGAGCCGTCACCAGAAAGTGAATTTGCCAGCACTGTTGTCACGGATTTCAAGCCTCAGAACTGTGAGAAAGTAAATTTCTGTTGTTTAAGACACCCCATCTATATTTTTTTTCCTATTTTAAAAAAATTTGAGACAGAGTCTTGCTCTGGTACCCAGGCTGGAGTGCAGTGGCATGATCTCGGCTCACTGCAACCTCTACCTCCCAGGCTTAAGTGATCCTTCTGTCGCAGCCTCCCGAGTAACAGGGACCAGAGGCATGCACCACCATGCCCAGCTAATTTTTTGTATTTTTTGTAGAAATAGGGTTTCACCATGTTGCCCAGACTGGTCTTCAACTCCTGAGCTTAAGCAATCTGCTGCCTCGGCCTCCCAAAGTGCTGGGATTACAGGCATGAGCCATTGTGCCCAGTCTAGTCTGTACTATTTTGTTATAGCAGCCCAAACAGACTAATACAAGGTAAATGGATAAATAAACTGTGGTACACACAGACAATGGAATACTATTCAATGCTAAAAAGACATAAGCTATCAAGCCAAAAACACACATGGTTGAACCTTGTGTTAATCCATTCTTGCATTGCTACGGAGAAATACCCAAGACTGGGTAATTTATAAAGAAAAGAGGTTTAACTGGCTCATGGTTCTGCAGTCTTTGTAGGAAGCATGATGCTGGCTTCTGCTTGGCTTCCAGGGAATCCTCAGGAAGCTTGCAATCATGGCAGAAGGTGAAGGGAGAGCAAGCACATCATATGGCCAGAGCAGGAACAAGAGAGAGAGAGGTGGAGGGGTGATGCCACATACTTTTAAATGACCAGATCTCATGTGAACCAAAGCAATAACTCACTTATTACCAAGGGGATGGCCATTCATGAAGGATCTGCTTCCATGGTCCAAACAGCTCCCACCAGGCCCCACCTCCAACACTGGGGATTACATTTCAACATGAGATTCAGGCAGAGAGAAATACCCAAACTATATCAAACTTTAAGTGCATATTGCTAAGTGAAAGAAGCTAATCTGAAAAGGTTACAGACTGCGTGATTCCAGTCAGATGAGGGGAAGGAATGATGAATAGATGGAGCACAGGAGATTTTTATGGCAGGGAAACTATTCTTTATGACACTATAATGGTAGATACATTTCATTATACATTGGTCAAAACTTATAGAATGTATAACACCATGAGTGAACTCCAATGTAAATTATGGACTTTGCTTGATAATGATGTGTCACTGTTGGTTCATTGATAGTAACAAATGTACCACTCTGGTGTGAGATGTTGATAGTGGGGGAGGCTGTATATGTGTGAGGGTAAGGAATATATGGGAATTCTCTGTAACTCCACTGCATTTCACTGTAAACCTAAAATGGCATTAAAAATAAGGTCTGTTAATTTTTTGTTTTTCAGAGTTTACAGAGACGAAAGGACCTGTGCGTCATCATCAAGAGGACCAACATATGTGTTATGGGAATTTTAGATGACAAAGAGAGGGGCAGAACTAATATTTGAAAAATTATAGCCAGAAACTTCCAAAATTTTATTAAATATACTAACCTACAAATCCAGAAAACTGAGTGAACTCCAAGTTGGATAAACTCAAAAAGACCCCACACTAAGACATTCTAACCAACCCATCAAAAGCCAAAGGTAGAGAATCTTGAACGCAGCAAACAAGAAAGAAGTAACTCATCACGTACAAGGAATCCTCATTAAAATTAAAGGCCAGTTTCTTATCAGAAAACATGGAAGCCAGAAGACAGTGGAGTGACATACTTAAGTGGGTGGAAGAAAATGAAACCTATTAACTGAAATTTTATATCTAGCAAAACTGTCCTTCAAAATGATGGAAAAGTTAGGATATATTCTGATAAACAAAAGCTGAGTCCAACAAGAAATGCAAAGGAAGTCTTTCAAGTTGAAATGAAAAGACACTAGCCAGTAATTCAAAGCCACGTGAGGAAAATAATGGCCTACAGTAAAGGTAGGGCAAATATAAAAACAAGTGCTATTTAATTTTTGTTTGTAACTCTACCATTTATTTTTAATACGATTTAACATACACATATGTAAAAATAATAAATCTCCTGTTGGGGACACAATGTTAAAGATGTAAAAAGACATTAACAACATAAAGGGGGAAGATAAAGATGTGCAGTAGTATAGTTTTTGAATGTTTTTGAAGTTAAGTTGGTATCAATTCAAAACATATTACCTTAAATTTAGAGCATTAAATGTAATTGCTATGGTAACCACAAAGAAAATATCTAAAAGATCTATAGGAAATGAGATATATAGGAAAAGATAGAAAAACAAGAAAAGAATCAAAATGGTTCACTACAGAAAAATCAACTAAACATAAAAGAAGGCAATAATGGAGAAAATGAGAGAGGAAAAAAGTATAAGACATACAGAAAACAAGTATCAAAATGGCAGAAGTACTTCATTAGGAGTACTATTTTAAATATAAATGGATTAAACTATTCACTCAAAGGCAGAGATTGGCAGAATGGATAAATGCTGTCTGTAATAGAGTCACTTTAGATTTAAAGACACAAATAAGTAGAAAGTGAAAGAGTAGAAAAGATATTACATCCAAATAGAACCAAAAGAGAGCTGAGGAGGCTATACTAATATTAGGTAAAAAAAACTTCAAGTCAAAATCTGTTATAATGACAAAGAAGGACATTATATATTGATATGTAGATAAATATGTATATCATCAAAAAGTTATAATCATAAACATATATGCACCAAACAACAGAGACCCAAAATATTTCAAGCAAATATTGACAGAATTAAAGGGAAACAAATAGTTGTACAATAATAGTTGGAGACTCCAATATCTTACTTTCAAAAATGAATAGAATATCTAGACAGAAGATAAGTCACAAAATAAAAGACTTGAATAAGCCAACTAGACCAAACATGAGTATATAGAACATTTTACCCAATAACAGCAGAATATGTATAGATTACATGTTAAGCCACAAAACAAGTGAATAAATTTTAAAAAGTTGAAGTCATACACAGTATCTTTTCTGACAAAGTAGAATGAAGCTACAAATCAAAATCAAAGGAAAACTGCAAAATCCACAAATATATGGAAATTAAACTACACACTACCAAACACTCATTGGTCAAAGAAGAAACTACAAGAAAAATTAGAAAATAATGAAAATGAAAACAAACATATTAAAACATAAGATTTGTTTGTTTATTTTGAGATGGACTCCTGCTCTGTCACCCAGGCTGGAGTGCAGTGACACGATCTCGGCTCATTGCAACCTCCGCCTCCTGGGTTCAAGTGATTCTCCTTCCTCAGCCTCCTGAGTAGCTGGAATCACAGATGCCCACCACCATGCCTGGCTAATTTTCAGGTTTTTAGTAGAGACGAGGTTTCACCCTGTTGGCCAGGCTGGTCTCAAACTCCTGACCTTAGGTGATCTACCCGCTTCGGCCTCCCAAAGTGCTGGGATTACAGGCATGAGCCGCTATGCCCAGCCTAACATAAGATGTTTAATAATGAAAACTAAAACACATATATTAAAGCGTAAGATGAGGCAAAAACAGTGCTCAAAGGAAAACTTATAACTGTAAATTCCTACATTAAAAAAAAACGAAAGATAATCAATGGCCTAACTTTATCCCTTGAGAAACTAGAAAAGGAAGAGTAAACCAAACCCAAAACTAGCCAATGGAAGGAAATAAAGATTAGAGCAGAGATCAATAAAACAGAATAAACAATAGAATCAGTAAAACCAAAATTTGGCTCTGTAAAAAAAGTAATCAAATTGACAAACCTTTAGCTAAACCGACAAAGGAAAAAGAAAGACACAAATGATAAATGATTAAAATTTAAAATGAGAATAGGGACATTACTGCCAGCTTTGGATAATCTGGATGAACTGGATAAACACACAAATTAACCAAACTTACTCAAGATGAAATAGAAAATTTCACTAGACATATAACAAGTCGAGAGATTGAATCAGTGATCAAAACCTCCCAACAAAGAAAAGTCCAGGACCAGATAGCTTCACTGGTGAACTTTACCAAATATTTCAAGAAGAGTTAACACCAAATCTTCTCAAACTCTTTCTGTGAGGTCAGCATTAACCTGATACCAAAGTCAGATAAAGACATCACAAAAAAGTGCACACCAATATCCCTTCTGAATATTGAAGCAAAAATCTTCAACAAAGCACTAGCAAACTGAATCCAAAAGGATCCTTAAAAGATAAACAACATGATTTAAAAATGGGCAAAAGACTTGAATAGACACTTCTCAAAAAAATGTACAAATGGCTAATAAGCACATGAAAAGATGTTCAACATCCTTAGTTATTAGGGTAATGCAAATCAAAACAACAATGAGGAACCATTTCACACTTACTAGGATAGCTGTAAGATTAAGAAAAAACAAAACGAACTACCCAAACAGAAAATAACAAGTGTGGACAAGGATGTGGAGAAATTGGAACATTTGCACATTACTGGTGGGAATGTAAAATGGAGCAACCATTGTGGAAACCAGCATGGCAGTTTTTCAAAAGGCTAACCATAGAATTACCATACAACTCAGCAATTCAGCTCTGAGATATACACCCCAAATAATTGAAAACAGAGACTCAAGAGATATTTGTACATGAACGTTTATTGTGACCTTATTCATAATAGCCAAAAGGTGGAAACAACCCGAGTGTTCATCAACCAAGAAATGGATAAACAAAATATCTTATACACATACAGTGGGATACTGTTCAGCCATGAAAAAAATCAAGTTTTGATGCATGCTACTACATGGATGAGCCTTGAAAACATGATACTAAATGAAATAAGCCAGACAAATGACAAAATATTGTATAGTTCCACTTATATGAAATATCTGAAATAGGCAAATTTATAGAGACAGAAAATAGGTTAAAGGTGGAGGGGATAAAGGGGAATTACTGCTTAATGGTTATTGAATTTGTTTTGGGTGATGGAAAAGCTTTGTTAAAAGATAGTGGTGGTGTTTGCACAATAGCATGTATGCAATTAATGCCACTGAATTGTACCCTTAAAATGGTTAAAATGTCATAGTTTGTGTTATGTATATGTTACCATAATAAAAAAATAAATGATTCTGTATGTATTTTTAAATTACAGTGTTTTGCTGAAGAAAGGAATAATGCTGGCAGAAAAGACAAATGTATTGTTTTGCTTCCTTTTTTAGGGACTTTAATTATTTGTAGGTAGACAATATTCTTACAGGTAATTAAAGTATGCTTAGTTGTCTTTTTAAAAGTACCACATTTTAATTCATTTGAAAAGGAATTGAGTAATCTTGATAGATTATCATACATCTACTTGATGAAATATTTTGTAACCATGAAAATGGTAACTCTTAAGAGTTATCCCATTAACAGGAAAAACAGAAGATTGTTGGAAGAAATCTCTCTACTATGCCTATTAGGTTTGTTGTCTCAGCTGGGGTCTAAGGGCTTTCCTTTTACTTTTCCAATTCTCTTTTCCATTTCCCATGAAAGTTACTTGAATCAATATTCACACTCCTTTATTTGCTTTCACTTTTATTCTCACCAGGTGGTATTTTTTACGATGATATGACTCATCTTCTTCTCTTCTACCTGCAAACTTCCCTCAATAGCAACTTCTGAAGTGTTGTCTCCTCCTGGTCTAGGCTGGCCTTCCAGCCCTACTCTGCTTTGGAGACCAGCCCCTCCCTCCTCTTCAGCACTTGCCTCAGCGACTAACCTGCATCTTTTCTGAATTCCCAATTTCTGTCACTCCTCTGACTTCTATATCCCATTACCTTACCACCTTCTACAACTGTTGCACACTTCTTTCCTTTGCATTATCACTAGATTTTTTGAAACAGCAGCCTGCATTCACCATCTCTACTTACCTATTCATGAATTTATTCATTCCCTTGTGAAACGTGGAGAACATATTTCTTTATAGATGGCATCAGAATTTCTCTAAGAGAGAAAAGTGCCTTTCTTTGAAAGAAAATTTAAAACCTTGAAAAAAAATGGAGTAGAAGGTAAGGTTCTTAGGATGCCATATGGCTGATGCTAACCAAGGCTTCAGAGACAAGAACTAAGCTGCTCAGTCTGGGTCTAGGAGAATGTTTTTGCTGCTTCATAGGAGTAGGCAGAGGGAGGATGAGAAAAGAGGAGAAAGAACGGTCTCAGAAGAATAAGGGTCTGGGCACTGTGAGAAGAGGCCTGGGGGTAGTAGGCCAAGGAAAGAGCTATAGTATCAGGGGGTCCAAATTTTGGCGAATTAGAATGTCCAAGGACAATCTTATAAGATGTCAGCATACCACAAATTCTGCTTGTTTTGACCCTCTGAATGATTATCACTTGGAGAAAAAACAAATGAACAACAACAAAAAAAAACATAATTCTATGAAATGGCCTCTTGATTGGACATATTAAAGATGTATTACTCTTAACAGTACTCTTTAGGAAATAAACATGGGAGCTTTATCATTGTTTATATATTTTATAAATTTACATATAGTTTAAGATTAAATGTGTGATGTGTAACATGCAGTATAACATTTTTAATACATGATGTAAACATGCTTAATACACTATTTTATCCAGGAAAGCAAATGTTTCCTAAAGAGTAGGTCAGTTAATCTCAATGAATGCTATTCTCCCAATATTAGATCTGGTTTGGACTGCTATTCAGGGCAAACTCCTGAGAAACAGGACCTGTTGCACTCAATTTATCTTTACACTGCATAAGCAGTTTCATTGCTGTTTAGCCAGTAGGGATCTGATAAAAGGAGCAGAGCTAGAATCTGAAGGAGTATAGGTAAAGAATATGCAGCTGAACTACTGGTCTTCCTCCCTGGCCCAGAGTGACTTTTCTAGACCCTGGGATAAGACAGAGGAGCATTTATGTGGAATACTCTGAGCCTGGTGTCTGATCACGGGATGCCCTCCTTAACTCAAATCATAAAATTTGTTATGGCTTAGCATAGTTTAGTGGAAAGATCTTGGTCTTTGGAGTAAGACTGATGTGTTTGAATTCCAGCTGTAAATAAAAAGGACTAACATGATTAATTAAAGTGGAGAAAGCTCTAAGAAGGAAGAACTCAGTCTAGGACTCTTTATATAACTACTGCTACATGCTTACTATTGTATTACGCAGTGTGCTAAGTACGTGCCTTACTGATTTAATCTTTACACCAACCTTCTGTAGTAGGCATTAGCAACTCCATTTAACTGATTTTTAAAAAATGTAGTCTCAGAGATTAAGCATTTTGTAAGTAGTATAACAGAGATTTCAACCCAGTTGTTTTTAACTGCTTTATTGAGATATAATTGACATTCATAAGTATACATAAAGTGTATAATTTGATGTTGTGACATATGTATACACCCATGAAACTATCACCACAGTCAAGATAATGAACGTATCTATCACCTCCAAAAGTTTCTTCCTGCCACTTCCCACCCTGCCCCCTCTCTAAGCAAACACTGATCTACTTTCTGTCAATAGAGATTCGTTTGCATTTTCTAGAGTTATAAAAATGAAATCATACATTATGTGGTTTTTCATACCTGGTTTTATTCACTGGCATTGTTACTTTGAAATTAAACCATATTGTTATGTTTATCAATAGTTTATTAGTTTTTATTGTTCAGTAGTATTCGATTATAAGAACATACCACAATTTTTGTATTCAAATACTGAAGGACATTTAATCCAATTGTTTCTCACCCTAAACCTGTGCTACACTCTCTTCCCAGTTCCATCACTTATTGTGTGGGCTTAGGAAACCTAATTATTCTGAGTCTTACTTTTTCTCATAATAAAATGGCAGTAATATATTTTTTTCACACGGTTGTTATCAGTAAATGAGATAACATGTGAAAACACCTAGTACAGGTGTCCCTTATCTCAAGTGCCTGGGACCAGAAGTATTGTGGATTTCAGATGTTTTTGAACTTTTGGAATATTTGCATATACATAATGAAATATTTCTGGGATGGGACCCAAGTCTAAACATGAAATGTATGTTTCATATACACCTTATACATATAACCTAAGGGTAATTTTATACAATATTTTCAATAATTTTGTGCATGAAATGACGTTTTTCTATTTTGACTGTGAGTCATCACATAACGTTAGGTGTGGAATTTTCCACTTGTAGCATCATGCTGATGCTCAAAAAGCTTTGGATTTTAGAGCATTTCGGATTTGGGGTTTTTGGATTACAG